TGGGGAGACAAAGGGAAGATGCGGGAGGCAACCATAACTCCAGCTCTTGAGGCAGGGGAGGTGTCCTGTGTGATCCAGGGGTGGGGGGGTCACAGCGTCATCATAAGCACTGTGTAAAATCAATGCAAGGGCCAGAGATTTAGCTCAGTGGTTCTGCTGCCTGCCTCGAAAGTGCAAGGACCCAAGTGCAATCCCCAGTACCATAAATAAATAAATAAATAAACAAATAAATAAATAAATAAAATCACCAGCTAAAGACTGAATGAATGTTGCCTCCTGCATACACGCATGAGATGTTTTCAAAATATATGTAGATGATGTTGTAATAAATGAACTAGAAATCAGTTAACCGTCCGTGAATCATGGTGATTTTTCAGTCATGACGTATTTTCTCAATGAGAGTGCTCTGAAATCCCATGGAGGTCATTGAGCCATCTAATACCCTGTTCCTTCAGCCTAGAGGGCTTTCATCCACATGGCTAACTCTTACTCATCAACAGGGCTCAGCTTAAGCATCACTTTTCCAGGAAGCCTGTCCTGAGCCTCTCCAAAAATTACATCATCCCATAGCACACCTCCATGGCTCCCTCCGCACGTTAGCTAACATCACACATGTAATTTTTACTTGTGCAATATTTGGGTATTTCAAACCCAGGAATAAATGCTTGTTGCATGGGTGATGGGTGGATGGATGGCCAATTGGGGACAGGGCCTTAGAGAACAAGTTATCTGTTTAAATATTTCCATTTCTTTCCCAATGCCTCATCAGTTTTCACCCATTTTGCCTGAAATGTGTTCCTAAATCCCCTAGGTTTAATCTCCATTGCCAATCCTTATTAACTTCAAGCTCTGAGTACAGGGATTATTGTCACTTCCAATTTGCTCTTCAACGCATTTTTAAAAATCATTCCCATGGAAGAAATTGGGAGAAAAAGAAAACGGATCTGTGGGTGGGTTTGGGGGATAGGGGAGTGTTGAGATGGAGGAAAGGAGTGGATGAAGGGGAATCAATGTAACAGAAATCAGAGAGAACCATTTTTCTTCCCCCTCTGAAACCCAGAGGGCTGATCATAGGGAGCTCCATAAGGAGAAACCTGCTCTTTGCTGCCATCTGGTGGCTACGACTGGAGCAGCTCTCACAGTAAAATACCCAACAATTATGCAGCGCACACTGTGTTCAAAGGTCTGAGCCAGTCACTCTATGAATAATTCCCTACATGTTTATATTCTCATACCAATAATGAGGCATTTTCATATGCAGTACTTAATTCATTCTTATAAAAGCCCTCTAACATAGGCCCTGACAGGTAAAATGATTCCCACTTCACGGATGAATAAACTGAGACTCAGCATGAGCGGAGCCTTGCGTAGTGAAAAGCAGAATTCATAGGAAAATGGAACCCAGGTTTACTGACTACAACAAAACAGGTGTTTCTGCCTTGGTTTTGCTCAGGGTAGAAGCCAGTTTAAAAAAAAAAAATGCTAGGCCTGGGGGTTTAGTTCAGTGGTTCCGCCGCCTGTCTCGCAAGCCCAAGGACCCGAGTTCGATCCCCAGTACCAAAAAAAAAAACAAAAACAAAACTACATTCTCTGGCACTGCAGGTCTGCAGACCTTGACAAGTGACTAAGCAAAGGAAAATAGACCAAGAGATGAGAAAAAGGAAGAAGTTGCACCTTTGAATTTCTTCTAGCTCAAAAAAAATTTTCGTCTAGCTCTAAACATATTGATTTTAAAGTAATATCCTCAAAATGTAAGACTGAGATCAGTGACAGAAAAATAAGAATCAGTGAAGCTCTTCCCTTGAAGCTTGGTACTAAGGAACACAGAAAGGCTCATAAATTACTGTTAGTTCCAAAGTAAGTCATATGCAGTGTTCTCAGGTCCATCGGTGGACTGAAGTCCTCCGGGGATCACATTTAAAGGCAGATTCTAATTAAATAAGTCTGGGGTGAGACTTGAGATTCTGTACTTTTTATCAACATTTCTTGTCATGGTTAAATAGAGAAAGTGCAAAATTCACCACTTTAATCATATGTAAGTGTAGATGTGGTGTTAAAGATATTCATCACCATCCCTCTCTGGGACTTTTTAAATCTTTTCAAATAGAAACATCATATGCAGTCAGCAGTAGCTGCCCATTCCCCACTTCGTCCACCCCTTGACAATCCCCACTCTATTTTCTCTCTCTGTGAATTTTGACTGCTCTAGAGACCTCATATAAATGGAATGTACAATATTTGTCCTTTTTAAGTTTACATCTATATCCAGTTCTCAGGTGATTTTTTTTTTTTTTTTTGGTACCGGGGTTTGAACTCGGGACCTTGCACTTGCGAGGCAGGCGGTGGAACCACTCCACTGAGCTAAATCCCCAGCCCTCAGGTGATGTTGATATGCCTGTCCTATCTACAGATCCTATTTTGCACAGCAATGGTAGAGCAGAAGTGGTGAATCTGTAGAGGACCAAATATTTAGGCTTTGTAAGTCATATAGTCCCTGTTGTGACCACTCAACTTGGCCATTGTTGATTGCCCAATGCTGCCACTCAAGCACAAAAGTAACCTCAGATAATACATAAAAATGGGTTGGCTGAGTTCCAATAAAATTTTATTTACAAAAACAGAAGCCTGGATGGGTTTGGCTTTTCAGCCATGATAATCTGGTCCCTGCTCATGGCAATAATTCTAGTCCCCAAGGACTTTTATGTTTATGTAACTAGAAATGTGTTTGCTGAGTTATATGTGAAGTATTGTCCTCATGGAGATCAGAGGGGTTTTTTCAGTACTAAGGATTAAACCTAGGGGTTGGAGCATGCTAGGCATAGCACTTTACCACTGAACTACATTCTCACCCCTTTCTATATTTAATTTTGAGACAGGGTCTTGCTAAGTTCTCCAGGCTGGCCTTAAACTTGTGATCCTCCTGTCTCAGTGCCCCAAGTAGCTGGAATTATAGGCAAATGCCACTATACCAGGCCAAAGATTTCAGATTCTTAAATTCAAATAAATGCACCACCCCATACTGTACACAATCATTTAGGCACCATTCTAAATCACATGGTTTTTGGATCAAATCCAGGGCCCTGCATATGCTATGCAAGTTCTCTACCACTGAGCTGTATCCCCAGGCCTCTAACTCCTTATGTATTAAGAATCTAAGCCTCACAACAATTCTGTAAGGAAGTACTTTTCTAATCTCCATTTCACCAATAAGGATAGTAAGATTAGTAATTTGTCCAAAGTCACATCCCTAGTAAGAAGGAGAAACCGAATTTGAAATCAGGCAGGCTAAGTCCCAGATTTTTATTCCCTCATTATACTACTTCTGAAAAGAAGCATTTGGTACCATTAGTTGGGGTTGGTGGGTGGAGAGAGGCAGTGAGTGGTGTGGAGAAAGATATAACATAAGGCAGTTGAAAGTTAAATTATATCTTCAATTTCTGAATGAATGTGCTAAAACCAGACCCCTTTACTGGTGGATTTTTTTTAACATTATATTTTGTCATGCATTAAATTTCCTAGTGAGCTGGGCATAGCGGTACACCCCTCTAATCCCAGCACTATGGGAGACGGAAGTAAGGGGCTCATGTGTTTGAGTTTAGCCATGCAATTTAGCAAGACTATTACAAAATTTTTTAAAAATTAATAAAATAAAATAAATTTCCTTGGGCCAGGAATGTAGCTCAGTGGCACCACGCCTGCCTTGCAAGTGCGAGGTCCTGAGTTTGATCCCTGGTACCTAAATAAATAAATAAATAAAATTTCATTATGGTAGTATGTGACCATTGGTAGACTATCTTATGGTAGTGTATGACCAAAAGTCACAATAGAAATAAACCAAACATTGATAATTCCTTCATTTAATTGTAATCCAAGCCAACGCTTTTTATGCTAAAATACATCAATGCTGTCCTTAAAAGAAGGCATCTATCAGGATTTAGAAGAGAGTTTCCTAAGCAGTTCAGCTTTGTAGCTTGGAAACTTTTACCTGCAATGTTCAATGCCATCCTCCCACACTGGGAAAACAGCCCCTCAGTATTCCAAGACAGTCCATAAGATGTGCTGCCAAAGTCTTCCTGTCAAGGCAAGGCATCTTCTTGAGATTACTTCAGATTTCAAAAATAAAGACCATATCTGTGCAGATTAGAGTTTCCCATTATTAACACAGTTGACACTCAGCACCAGGCAATTCTTTATGGCAGAAAGCTGTTCATTACATTGAAGGATGTCTAGGGGCATCCCCTCCTCCTGTCCCTAGAAGCCAGCCACATTAACCCAGTTTTGACAGTGAAAGATGTCTCCAGCCATTGCCATTGTCCCCTGTGGGGAGGGGGGAAAACCACCCCCAGCAGATAACCAACAAGAGAGATTGATGCCAGCTTTTATTTCAAGAATGCTCACCACCATCTGTTTGTGGGAGTAGACATTGGCACAAACCTTTGAAGGGTGATTTTGAAAGTAGGCTTTGGAAAGCGATCATTAAAATATTCAAAATATTTGCACTGGAAGGAAAGAAGAAAGATTTCTTATTTATAGCACAGGACGTGTAATGGATTCATTAGTAATAAAGGTTTGACAATGTATAAGACTGTATTTTCCCCAAGGAATAGACATAGATTCAGTGGCTGCCAGTTCCCAAAGATTCCAAAGCTCCATGTGCATGAGAGAGCTCTTGGGTATTCAACCAAAGAGTGGGCATTTGGCCTAACTGGCTAGGTCTGTACATTATTCCCCAAGACTATAGTGATTACTCCAAGGGTGGTATGGTATGAATATTTGTGATCCTCCAAAATTTACATGTTAAAATTTAGTCATCAAAGCGATGGTGTGATGGTTGATTGATTGTGTCAACTTGAGAAGTTTGGTTAAGAGAAGCTTAGCTAAATCGGCTCAGCAATTCCACACCCTACAGTGTGGAAGATGCACCCTATGGCGGCTCATCGCCTGGGTGGTATAAAGGGGAAATGAGGAAGGACAGATCTGCTTCTGCTTTTTCAGAGGAGCTCCAGTCTTCACCTTCACCTTGGACGTCATCTCCTGGCTTCCAGTGCAAACTCTTCAACTTCTGTGGCAGATCCTTCAGCCTTCCAGTGTAGACTCTTCAGCTTTCTATCGCAGACCTATCGGCCTTCTGTTATGGACTCACACGGGACACTGCAATGAGCTCCAGACCTTCAACTAAATCCTTCAGGCTCCAATGTGCAGACAGATCCTCTGCACCCTTCCTCATCTGACTGTGGGCGTCCATTGTAAGCCAATCTTGTAAATTCACATATATATGTATATCTTATATTTTATCTGTTTCTCTAGTAAATACTGACTGATACAGATGGTATTAGAAAGTGGGGCTTAGGAAAGGTGATTGGGTCATGAAGGTGGAGCCCTGGCGAATGGAATTAGTGCCCTATAAGAGCCCAGGAGAAGCCTTTCCACACTGTGAAGATGCATAGAAGACATCATTTGTGAGCAGCAGCCTCTCACCAGACACCCAATCTGCTGGCACTTTTACCTTGGATTTCTCACTCTCCAGAACTATGAGCAATGTGTTCTGTTGTATTTAAATTATCCAGTCTAAGGTATTTTGTTATAGCATCCCTAATAGACTAAGGCAATTGGTAAGCCAATATTACTTTCTTAAGGTTCTTATTATTAATCTGAGAGGGCAAAAAGGGAGCATATCTTTTCTTTCTGGTCATGCAGGTATAAAGATAGGTGCCCCCATCAAAGGAAGAAGTTGTTCTGAGAAAATAAAGACATTATACAGAAGGCGGTACAGGTAAGAGAATCCCTGTGATATTTGTAGAGATCCCATCTGACATGACTACAGCCATCGTGGTCATAACCTCCATTCTGCCTACAAGGTTACTCTTAGTACACCTCCAAACCTATAGGAAAAATAAAATCATTAGCATTATTAGTCAAGCATTTTATGCTGGCTACTGTTGCCCTAACTGATATTTGAAGTCATTCTGAGAAACCCTGGGCTGTGGCCCACTTTGTCTAGCTTAGCATATAAATCCTTTCCTTCTGCCTTGAGATGTGGAGAATTCTCCTATCTTTTTTTTTGGTACCGGGGATCGAACTTGGATCCTTCCGCTTGCAAGGCAGGCGGTGGAACCATTGAGCCAAATCCCCGGCCCCAGAATTCTCCTATCTTGCTGCTACCCAAAACACCCTTAAGGTTTTCAGTCCCTAATAAATTGCACTCTGTGCAATCCTGGATTTTCCTGCTTCTTTCTTTGGGCCTCAATGCCTTCTGCCACTGGAATTTTCCAGAACCATGTCCATGTCTAGAGTTCTGACTGTTCCTGTGGCCAACACCAACCAGGACATTCTCATGAATTCCTGTGTGAGCCAGAAAATTTCCTTTCTTTCTTCCAGTTAATTCATACTGGATTTCTCTCCCTTGCAACCATGGATTGTAACACATCTTGGCAAAGATATAGATAATTTACATAATGACCAGCAGTGCTGATGAAAATTTGACTTGTAAATGTCCTAAAAAAAAAAAAGAATCTCTGTGCAAACTAGATAGATGCAAATGCACCTATGGGCCTATTTTGTAAATCCTGGTGTTGTTCTTGAAAACTTCCAGTAGATACGGCTGGGTCTTGGTTTATGCAGATATCCACCACAACAGTCCCTATTTGTGTATGCCTTTATACTTCCCAAAGCTTTCACCTTCGTTATCTCATTTGCTTTCCACCACAACTCAACCAGACTGTGAAGGGGATTTCACTGTCCCCATTTCCAGGTGAGAAAATGAAAACACTGTGAAGACTAAATGGCTTTGTTATCTAATTCAGGGGTCTGGAAGGAGATTAACAGTTCTCAAGTTCAATCAGTCATGAACTGTGTCGTGAGTGATTTGACAGTGACGGTTGAAGTATCGAAGCTTGAGAATGACTGATCATTTTTTAAATAATACATTACCCCATAACAACCTAATTCTCGCCAGCATTTTATATGCTTGCCCAAGTAGAAAAAAAAGAAATGGAGCTACTGTTGGCAGATTGAGAATTCCCCAGGAGTGTCATGCATGTAGATGCTCAGCCATGGACAGTGTAGCAGAAAAAAGGGTGGAGAGTCAATGAGTTAGCCAGTTCTGAAAATTGCTTCCAGCTCCAAAATTTGACAATTCACCCAAAATAAACAATGAGTTGATGGGATTCAAGATAAAACCTCCCTGTCCACTTCCTATATAGATATATTATTTGAAGCAAAATCTTTACAGGTACATTTTAGATATATATAATGATAATATTCATCATAGGGAATTTGTACCTGTACATGATATATTTTAATTCTTTTTTCCCATTACCCCCTCTCTTTGACCCCCCTTCCCCTCCTTATTTATAAAAGCTTTGTTTCCATTTTTTTCTTCTATTCTTTTTTTTTCTTGTCCCTTCTTTCCTTGTCCCCTTTCCTTGTTCTCCTTTTCATTTGAACACTTTCTTCCCATTTCTCAGTATATATTATACACTTTGGTTCTTATTTCCACTTTCAGTTTCTCACACCAGAGAAATAATGCAATATCTAAACATGTGTGTTTGATTTATCTCACCTAAAAATATGCCCACAAAGTGCATCCTTTCAGCTAGAAACGTCTCAAATTTGTCTTTCTTTTTTTTTTTTAAGCTTATCTTTCTTTATGGCAGAGTAGTACTCCATTGACAAAAAAAACAACAAAAAACCACACACACACACACACACACACACACATCTTTATCCATTCATCAGTTGATGGACATTTGGGTTGTTTCCAAGATTTAGCTATTACAAAACTATGCCACTATGAACATGGGTATACATATATCGCTGTGGTATAATGCTTTCAATTCTTTGGGGACGATACAAGAACGGTAATACCTGGGTCAAATGGAACCTCTAGTTTTAGTTTTTTGAGGTCTCTCCACACTGATTTCCACAGTGGTTGCACCAGTCTACACTCCCACCAACAGCAGAGAATGGTTCCTTTTTCCCCACAGCCCCACCAGCATTTGTTATTGGTTGATTTCTTGATAATAGATTATTTCTGTAATGAGATGGAATCTAAGCATTGTTTTAATTTGCATCTCTTGAATGACCAGTGATGTTAAACATTTTTTCATATGTTTATTTACCATTTCCACTTCTTCATCTGAGAAGTATTTGTTCATTTCAGATGCCCATTTTTACATTGGGTCTTTAAATTTCTGGGGTCTGATTTGAGTTCTTTATATATTCTAGATATTAATCCTGTGAGGAACAGCTGGCCAAATTTTTTCCCACTCTAAGAGTTGTCTCTTCATACTGCTGGTGGTTTCTTTTGCCTTGCAAAAGCTTTTTAATATAGTGAGATCCCAGTTTTTGATTCTTTGTGATATTTCCTATGTGATCAGGGTTTTGTTCATAAAATCTTTGCCTACACTAATGTCTTTATGAGTTCTATCTATTATATCTTCCAGAAAATTTAATGTTTCTGTTTTAATATTTAGATATTTGATCCATTTTAATTTGAGTTTAGTGCATGATGAAAGATATGGGTCTAGTTTTAATCTTCAGCATATGGAAAGCCTGATTTTCAAGCACCATTGAAGCTGATTTCTTTCTTCCATTGAAGGTGTTTGGCTCCTTTGGCAAAAATAAGGTGGCTGAATATATTTGAAATTGTTTCTGCACCTTGTAATCTGTTTCACTGATGCTCGGGTCTTTTTGTTGTTGTTGTCAGTACCAGGCTGTTTTTGTCACAGTACCTTCTAGTATAATTTCAAGTCAGGGATTGTGATGCCTCCTACCTGCTTTCGTTGCCCGGAATTACTTTTGCTATTCTAGGTCTCTTCTGGGATCAAATGAATTTTAGGATTATTTTCTCTAATTCTGTGAGATATGCTATTGGTATTTTGATTGGGATTGCATTAAATCTGTATAACAATTTTGGAAGTATGGTAATTTTCACTATATTGGGATATCTTTTCATTTTCTGATATCTTCTTCAACCTCCTTTTTTCAGAGTACTGTAGTTTTCAAAGTAAAGTCTTTTATTTCCTTCATTAGATTGATTTCTATGTGTTTCATTTTTTGGGAAGCTATTGCAAAAGTTGTTGTTTCCCTAATTTCTCTCTCAGTGAGTTTGTTATTCCTGTACAGTAAGGCTATTGATTTTTTTTTTTTTTTGGTACTGGGGATCAAACTTGGGTTCTTGCACTTGCGAGGCAGGCAGCAGAACCACTGAGCTAAATCCCCAGCCCAGGCTATTGATTTTTGAAGTTTGACTTTGTATCCAGCCATGCTACTGAATTTGGTTATCAAATCTAGAAATCTTTTGGTGGAGTTTTTGGGGTCCTCTATGTAGAGTTATTGTGTCATCTTCAAATAATGATAATTTCACTTCTTCCTTTCCTATCTTTATTCCTTTTATTTCTTTCTCTTATCTAATTGCTCTGGCTAATGTTTCCAGAACTGTGTTGAATAAGAGTGGAGATAGTGGGCATCCTTGTCTTGTTCCTGATTGTAAAGTGAAAGCTTTCAGCTTTTGTCCATTTCGTATTATGTTGGCTGTTGGTTTGTCATAGATGGCTTTTATTAGATTGAGATAAAGACCATCTATTCCAATATTCTGTCAGGATTTTATTATGCATGGATGTTGGGCTTTGTCAAATGCTTTTTCTGCATTTAGTGAGATGATCATATGGTTTTTGGTTTTGGTTCTGTTAATATGGTGTATTACATTTATTGATTTTCATATGTTGAAGCATCCCTGTATCCTTGGGTTGAATCCTACTTGGTCATGGGGTATAGCCTTCTTGATGATTTGCTGCATTCTGTTTGCTAGGATCTTACGGAGGATTTTTGTGTCTATGTACATTAGAGATATTGGCCTGTAGTTTTCTTTTTTGGTTGGATTCTTTTCTGGTTTTGGTATCAGAGTAATGTTTCCTTCCAGGAATGAATTTGAGAGGACTGCTTCCCTTTCAATTTCGTTAAAGAGTTTGAGAAGTAGTGACATCAGGTCTTCTCCAAATTTCTTGTAGTGCTCAGCAGTGAATCTGTCAGGGCCTGGGATTGTCTTTGTTGGTAGGTTTTTAATTATATCTTCAATTTCATTGACTGTATTGATCTATTTTCAATTTTTATATCTTCTTGATTCAGCTTTGGTAATTCATATGTATCTAGGAATCTGTCCAGTTCTTCTGTGTTTTCCATTTTACTAGAATACACGTTCTTGAAGTAGGTATTGAAGATCTTCTGGATTTCTGTAGGATCTGTTGTGATTTCAGCTTTTTCATTCCTAATTGCATGGATTTGAGTCTTTTCTTTTCTTTTTTTTTCATTAATTTTATTGGTACATTTTAGGTGTGCAGGATGATGACATTCATCATTGGGAATATATACCTTTACATGATATATCTTGGTTCTTGTTTTTTTTTTTCCCCCATTCCCCTGCCCTTCCTTCAACCCCTCCACCCCTCCTTATTTACAAAGACTTTGTTTCCATTTTTTCTTTTTCTCATATTTATTCCTTTCCCTAAGGGTTTGTCAATTTTATTTAATCTTTCAAAGAACCACCTCTTCAATTCATTGAGTCTTTGTATTGTTTTCTTATTCTCCATTCCATTAATTTCTGCTCTGATATTTATAATTTCCCCCCTCATTTGAGCTTTGGGCTTGACTTATTCTTCTTTTTCTGGACGTTTGAGGTTCAACAGTAGGTTATTTACTTGAGCTTGCTCTTTTTCTATTAAGAGAATTCACTGCTATAAATTTCTCTCATAGGACTGCTTTCATTGCTTTCCA